GTTGGCCGCATCTTTGATATGCTTTAAGGTGACAGCGCGATGCTGTTAGTGAGTTCTTCACTTCTTGTGTGCCTATCATTACTTGGCTGTGTAGCCGCGTGATGCGGTTCCAGTCGAGACCCACAAATTGGCCCTTGCTCACCATAGAGTCTCCAGTAGCTCAAGTGGTTAGAGCATCCGACTAGATCACGGAGGGTCGTGAGTTCAAATCCCATCTGGGACTCGGATTTTTTTTCCGAGTTCTCCTCAAATTAATATAAATTCAATTCATTTCTTTTTGTTTGTTTTTAACCTCGACTCATTAGCTATTTAAGCTAGGAGCCTAATAAGCTCCAGACCCTCAAGTATAAATAAAGTTTTCAGTTCAAAGTTTTTCAGCAGCAGAAATGTACGTTTGAAGTCTAGTTAAATGCTGTCATGTGTAGGTCAGATGAATGCATTTAAGCGTAACAGTTTTTCTGAGTGTTAAAATACACTATGCTTACTTGTCAGCGATGCTGCGTGCTTGAAAACTTTGTTCTTATTGAGTTAAAATAACTTTGGCCCATTCCATACGTCATACTTCTGCCTTGCTAAACTTAATTCTTGAATAAAGTAGCATGATGTCTGAACACAGGGATCCCACACAACCTGTTTGTGTGTTTTATATATCTACTAACTCTCACGAATTATAACTCTCATGCCTGTGGAAAAAAGACTCAGATCTCAGGCATCAAGGACAATTTCTCATGCCTCACTCTCAAATCTGGATGAATAGCATAGGATTAATAATGAAAATCGACTCCATTCACTTTAAGATATTCCAAAAAGGTGCTTAGTGTTGACCCTATTGACTTTGTTCCCTAATAGTATCACAGTACTGTATACTAAAATTGTTGATCATCTAGCGCTTTTCATTAAGGGCAGCCATCTTGGATGAGTGTCAGAACTAATGTGCTCGATCTTGATGATCTTATGAAAAAATAGGGGACTGTGAACAGTTTATCAAAACATGTGAGGATGTCTTTTGTCGGAATGTTATGGTTCAGCTATTTGATCTCCTAGTCTGAATTACTGGTTTCCTCATGTTAGAGCCAGAGGGTATCAGTGGGGTATTAAGTAAGTTAGTACATTTGTATCTAAAATATAGTGATTGCAGTACTGTATAATTAATTTCGTTGCATGCTATTTGGTGGTCAGTTTGTGTTTTGTTAGTTATAATTATGCTTACAGCAGCAACATGTTGACTACTGTCTGCCAGGATGCTAAGGTTGAAAATCAAGTGTCTGATTTCTGAAAAGACACCCAGGGCTCTACATCCATTAATATCTGATCTTCACACTTTTACTCTGCAGACAGACAGATACAACATTCACAGTCAACTGGAACATCGTAAGTTCACTAACAGTTGATAAAAAATTCATTTTTAACTTAAACTCTCTGTAGACAAACCTCTCTGGGATACCCCAGGTTATGTTCTCTTCATGTTCTCCTTTTCGTGGCTCAAATTTTACTGTTTAGTCCACTAGCAAAGTTTATGCAAGCAATTTTTTTTTGGCTGAAAATACGGTAACTTCAGCAGCTACTTTTTGTCACTGAGGTTGAGGGTGTCGTAGAAAAGCAAGATTATAATATGCCTTGAAACAAAAACCTCTCAAATTTTTACAAGAACAGAATTTTTCAAGAACACTTACATTTCACTCTCAATTTTTTACTGGAGAAATGTTTGCTGCAAAAATGTTTGTTAGAGGACATTTGCTACTTTCAAAAACCAACTATATTTTGTGAGTTTTTTAATTGCTGAAAATCTTGTTTTTATTAGTTTGTTTGTGTGTACTACTGTAGCAAACACATTTTCTCTTTCATCATAGTTCAGTCAAAGTATGTTGGAACTGGGCATTCAGACACAACAAAATTGTAAGTGAATGAAGTTACCTTTAATCTCATCACTGAAATGCAACCATACAAAGATGGCAGCTTTCAAAATTGATTGAAGCATTTGAGTTGTTTGTTATTGTTCAAAACATAATTATGATTGTTTTAGTGGGTTGAAAATTGCTGTGCTGCTTCACCCTTTCAAGTATTTTTTCAATGTGGGAAACCAAATGCATATGTGGATATGGATGTCATTTCCTTGATGTGGTGGGAGGAGGTTGTGCCAAGTGGGTTGTTTGTTAAAACTCACTTTGGAAACAAAGTTCTACTACAATCTATAGGAGACATTGCTGTTTACAAACATTGTTTTTGTTTTTCAAATATGTAATGAGTGAAACATAGGAATCTTTTGGTACAAGAAGCAATGCGCTTCTGCTGGCACATTAATATCAAGTATTGCAATAGACCTTTTTACCGATATGGCGGCCATATTGAATTAATTTGATTTAAGGAGTATTATAGGATGCCCCGGGGGCATGAGCACATTTCGTTTGTATTTTCGAGCGCTTTTCAAGACATTTTTTCTTAAAGTTTTCTCAGAATAAGATTGTAATGGGCAAAAAGATACTTGTGCCGTGTTTTGATGTAATAATGATAACCTTTTTCAAGTTTAGTATTAGAAATATGTATATTTCTTGGGAAAAAGGCGATCATTATTACATCAAAACATGGTACAAGGATCTTTTTGCCCATTACAATCTTATTCTAAGAAAACTTTAAGAAAAAATGTCCCGAAAAGCGCTCGAAAATGCAAATGAAATGTGTTCATGCCCCCTGGGCATCCTATAATACTCCTTAAATCGAATTCATTCAATATGGCCGCCGTATCGTTAAAAAGGTCTATTGACGGAATTTTATGAGAGGATTTGATAGCTCAAGCTTAGCTCTCCGTAGCAGAATAACACCAACATCCACAGGATAGTCCCGTCCCTAGCTAATGTGTTTTTTGTTTGTTTGTGTCTTTTAGTGAGTGGCTAGTCAATCAACACAGAGACAGTGCAGCATCCTACATTGGCCACTACAATCTACTGGATTACTTTGCCTTAGTAGAAAATGAATCAAGGGCTAGAACAAAGTTTAACCTTTTAGAGGTAGTGTGTTGAATTATTTTGACTGAAACTTGTGTTTATTTGTCAAATATTACCAGTTATTTTTTAATGTGGTTTGTTTGAAAGCTTAATTAACTTGAAGTATCTTTACTCATCTCTTTTCCAAAATGTGTGACTTTTCTAGATGCCCTATAAGCAGAGGTGTATTATTAAATTATTATTTTTTGCACTTCATACTCTATGCACACCTGCCTGTCACATTGGCTGTTTCTTTTCATCTAGAAATAGCCAGCGTGCAAAAAGTAAAAAATAGACTATGGAATAAAAAAAGAGGAGAAGGCTTGTTCAGCCAACGTCTTATTTTTATGTCTTATTTTATAATAGTTATTCTGTGAATTGAGAAATTCTTCCTTAGGTGGTCAGCCTGGGTAAAATTCAAGCCTATGAATTATTGGAAGTTACTTTATCACAATTTGTTTAAGTGATGTACTTACTTAGCATAATAACCTGCTTTACTGTAGAAAATGCTGCAACCCTGTGGCACACCACCACACAGACCTGATCAAGATTAGCACAGCCAACCATATTTAAAGGTGAGCATTGGCGTATGTTTTCATGTTCCAAAAAAAATAACCTGATGGTGTCCTGTAGGTGTATTTATGTTTTGTGCAATTTCTCTTATTGGATTTCAAAGTTTGTGTAGTAGTGAGTGTAACAGATGAGTCATGGCAACAGTCCAAGAAGAAAAATTGGAGGTTACTAAAAATTTTATTTGCATGTTGCCCTTACATTGCACAAATGTGGTGGTCATGATATAGAGACCTTTGATTCTAAGACGAGGACAACTATGAGATTTTCTCAATACTATGTAGTGCTTGCGCGTTAACCAGTGTCATTTTGGAGAGAAAATGCAAATAGCTGTCATCATTCTACTTACTGCGAGTTTTAACGAAACTGTTGTAGTGGCAGAAATAATAATTTTATCAATGGTTAGAAGTTCTATCATTTTTCAATCAGGAGAGAACTTTCCCTCCTTCAATAAAAATAAAAGTGCTAACTTTTTTTGTGAATAAAAAATTAATACAATTATAAAACTTTTCGAGGTGCGAAAAAACTTTCATGTAATCTCGGCCTTGTAGTCTTCCTGGTTCTTGAATCTAAAGGCCTGTAATGCTTGGAGCACTGATAACAAATTTTCATCGTTCAAAAAACATTTACAAGTTTTTGAGTGTGATGACGAGATAAAATTACGGCACATCAAGAAACAGAGTTTCTATTGGATTATTAAAGTTCTTT